TATTCTCATTGTTAATATATAAGATAATAATCAATAAATATGATCGAAATGATATTGATAGATAAATTTTTGAAAACTCTTATCAACAAAGAAAAGCTAAAGTCATTTAAATAAATTGATCGTGATGAGGCAAGAAAATATTTTCAAAGGATTTATAATGTGACTTTCGTTCAATTTTATGTTAGTTTAATCTGTGAAATGTTTGATTTAGATAGAAAGACAATTTTTATCTAATCTGATCTTATGTAAAACCATGTCGTCGTTCCTCATTAAAAAACGATTTACTATTTCCATGGAAATTTATTTTTAATAATAAATTTAAATCTGACGAAAATATTTTAATAACTTTCTTTTCGTGTTTTTTTAAATAAACAAATTCATTTAGCTAATTATTGGCTCGATTTATATAGTGAAATATTTTCTCTCATGTAAAACTAAAACTTAACCTGAACGATTGCAATGACTTATTAATAAACAAAGGAATAAAATATATATATATAGTTGTCAATGATGAAATTTATTAAATAAATAAGCAAAAAAAAAGAAAACCATGTTTAAACTCTAGAGAAACTTCGCCCGTTTTAGGATGCTAATCTAAGTTGTCGGTCATCATCCAAAAACGCCGCAAATGAAAAAAATATAGAGGTAGAAAATATTTCACGGTAACCGATATTTATCTTGATATAACGTCTTAGTTTTTTGGATATACTCTGGCACAAAAAATGCAGTTATCGATTTGTCTGTTTCTTCGATGTTTATGATTGATAGTTGGCGACCGCAATTCTCATTGGAATACAGCTAAGAACCTAAAGCGTGAAAACGATGACTGTTCAGCATGCACCAAATTTCTAAGATTTTCACTATGCTACGTCTACGCACATTCTCATTACTAATTCATGGATGTTTCTAACTTACCAGTGAGTACGGCGCTTACCATGCAAAGATATTTTTATTTTGTTAGCGTGTAAATGTTTGAGATGCGAAACCTTCAATCAGTTTTTTGCTAAAACTACTTAACCTTGTCCTCATAGATGTTTTGCGCTGATCTGTTCATCAGAAAGATCAGCTATTGTTCATAATATTATTTCCTTCAAAATTTGTTCATGTGAGAAATTGAAATACCAGAACGATCACACATTGACAGAACAGAACGTAGTTTACGGCCTCCCACAATTGAACTTTCTTCAAACTTATCATATGATGCGTTTTGAGAGTTTCCGCGGAAACACAATTAAACATCGAGGAAGAAGATATAGGATATATGGATATATAGAGATATTGGAGATATAGAGATATTGGAGATATAGAGATATTGGAGATATTCATTATAATAATTGTAAATTTCTCATAATTGATATTTATTTCACATATAATTTTTTTTGCTTTTCGTCATTTATCGAATGTAAATTAAAATAAATTATCATATTTCTGTATGGTAATTTACATAAGAAATATCCTAGTCTTAACATTATATTTATGAATAATTTATTTGTTGTACTATCTTTTCATTCAATTAATAGTTCTTAATTTGAGAAAAGATTTCACCATTTATTTTGATGAGTTTTTTAAAGAAGAGTCAAATCAGATTTTATGGACTAGGAAAATAGAAAACGCCGCAACGTGCCAATGAAGAGCTTAAAGCATTTTTCGCGAACTAAACACCTTTTCGAAATTACATATTATTTTTGATCAAATGTAGTCAGGACTTTTCGATGCAAAAGTAGTTTTTCTTTCTACATGGCTAAGTTTTATTCCAATCTAATTAAGTGACGATTTAATTTTAAGTTTCGAACATTTTCCATATACAATAAATATTCATTAGGTTTTCCGAAATAGTTTTTTTGATGTGTATGAGAAATATTTTAAGACATACCATGTTTATTCATGTGTTGTTTATGAACTACTTTTGATAAACAGTTTCTTCAGATATATATGATACGGAGAGGAAAAACCTCATAGGCACAGAAACTCTTAAATAATAATGCAAAGTGTTTTAGTGTTTTATTTGTCTCATTGAAGATGTTATTTTACTTCGACTGACATGAGAAGTATTTAAGTTCTTATTTCTATCTAGTAATTATTTCTATAATTGGATATTGAAACGAAGACCTTTGACTTGTATCACACAACACACTTTTCTAAACCTAAAAGAAGACTAATCGAATCCATCTTTTATAGTTATTTAAATTTGCCTCGATTGAAGAAACTTGAAAACATGCACTTGTTATTATGACTTTGTCAACAATAGACTTAAGATGCTGTTTAAAAAAGGGATTTGTTAAACTGTAATGATCATATAGGTTATGAAATTGATTTCTTTTTATTCAAATCTGTAGCAATGACAGTTTCCAATATGCCAAGAACGATCAGGCTTAGAGAGCAGTATTTGTGATCCTTTATAACAGCAATAAGAAGCGAACATTTTACGATAGCAATCAAAAATGAATACTATAAAGTTTCTTCTATCTTAAGAAACTGAAACTATGATATAGAAAAATTTCTTTGGTTATAATAAGACTAGAAAAGTTTAATATTGGATGGCAGTTATAAATCATCATTTTAAGATCCTATTGTACAGGCTGTTATGAAACCATTACGGCCCACTCTACAACTTAAAGTATAAATGATATCGTAAAGTTGTTTATACTAAATTAATGCTCATCAAAAACTGAACTTATGAGTGTAATTAGAGCAATTATGATCTATGAAATTATTGAAATTGCTTAAATTGCATGGCAAAAGGAGCTCGTACTTTACGATTTTCATTCTCCCTGTAGATGTTTCCAAAAAAATTATTGTAGATTTGTGATCCCCATCAAAAAGTAAATCTGTAGACATATCATTTGTATACTATTGACGAAAAAAAACTTTTTGAAAAAATCCTTGAAGCTATGCCTCGCTAGTTCTTTTATAGACCTAATATTATAAGATCAATGATAGTTTTTTGTCCAAATGAGCTCGTATATTTCAATAATTGCTTTTTTCTTACATTTATCAACAGAAACGCTTTCAAATTCGTGATCTCCGTCAAATAGTGCGTCCACTGATATATAAATCGAGATTTTTCAGTTCAAAAAGTAATTGTTTCGCAAAAAAATATATATGATATGTTTATAGATTTACTTTTCTATGCGGATCACAATCTACTGTAATTGTTTTGGAAACATCTACAGGAAGAATGAAAATAGTAAAGTACGAGTTCCTTTTGACATGTAATTTAAGCAATTTCAATAATTTCATAGATCATAATTGCTCTAATTATACTCATAAATTCAGTTTTTGATGAGCATTAATTTCGTATAAAATACTTTATTATATCATTCATATTGTAAGTTGTAGAGGACTGTGGAATGGTTTTGTAACATCCTGTTCATATAATTTGAAGGTCAGCGAAATTGCACCTATCAGTACTTTCATTGCAGAAACTGTATTAGTAACGAGAATTTGGTGGTACGTATCAGAGATGAGCAGGGTGGGATGGTCGCAGTATACCGCCAGAATATCGTAGTTTCCCCGTGCATTAAAACTACTAAATTTATTTTAGAGAGTACTGCGACATATCCCGAAATTTGGGGAATTGTTTACTTTTCCCGCGTGAGACAGCAGTGGCCAAAGACAATTGGTTGCCTCATAGTCACACGACTCATGAAAGTCGTGGTAATGCTTTTTTTAAAACAATCTATGCACGTAATTATCTCTTTCACAGTTTTTTCCGGTGAAAGTAAGTATCAGAGCAAAAAGTATGGTGAATATTCTGCATTCTCAGCTTTAATATTCACTAAACTGCAGGGGAACTGATGAGGAATTACTGTTTCTCAATCCTTGGACAGCCTTCCCGCATTCACATCCACACTCATGCTCCTTATTTATATGCACTGGAATTATTTAATGTCATATCATGAAATAAAAATAGTATTTATGAGGGGTGACTACAAAACCATGGTCCCTAAAAATACGTTGTTGGCAGGTAGTGCGGTGCAAAGCTGCACGATAGCGGGGCAGATAATAATCTAGTAGGCTGTGGCTGAGTGCTTTTTTAGTCGCTCCACTCGTCTCTGGTGCATATTGCTGATTTCGCAAGAAAATATACATAAGATAGAAAATTCATATCATAGAAGTTTATCAACAGTGCATATCTTCTTCACCAATATATATGTTTTCCATTTTAACAATAAAATCAAATACACTGGTAATATTTATACAATTCATTAGTGGTAACATCCTTCAAAAAATAAAGTAATCAATCAGCACCTTCTATCTGCGTCAGACAAAAAATATTTCCCTAGTCGTCAAACATACAGTTGAAGGTATAAAATAAAAAAGACCTGTCAAAGAACTCGAATGGTTTTTTTCAATAAATATATTTTAATATGTTGATATTAGTTTCGTAATAAATTTTGCATTGTTTTATGAAAAGGCGATGCTTTTCTGTTATTTTCGCCATAGGTAAATGAATAAAATTTCAAAATCATGTCACGGTAAAGTATTGCTTATGACCTATCATTTCAGAGATGAGGCATTTCAAGTAACCGTTTATAGATAAGCATATCAGCAAAATAAAGTGTTCAAGTTATTTTTTTGCAAACAATTGTCTGTCGCATGTTAAGAGATAGCAGGGAATATTCCAATATGTAACGTTACACAGTTGGAAAAATCCAAAAGATATTACATGAAAGCAAAAAAGACGGTAGAGAAATATCTGAGAGCACGAAAGAAAATATTCAATATCTGTATACAAAGAAAGAGAACAGACATGCAAGGATAATATGTCTATGACTCATTAGTGTTATGGGACGTCTTACGCTAGTGCCATAGCACATATTATTCTCTATGGAAAGAGAGCATATGCTGTAAATGTCCAACTTACAAGAGAACGAGAAAAAAAAACAAGGAAAAATTTGATAAGATAATGTATAAAATCCCTTGAAATCTATAGCATTCATGTGTAAATCAAGAAAAAACATACTTTAATCATTCTTCAGTGTTAATTTGAATACGCCATGGCCGAAAGAAAAATATTTGATTTATTCAAAACTGTTCCAGTTGTTGGTCAAGCGTATGGTGTAGTTCGAGGCATTGCTTATGGTATGAAAGGTGATGAAGATGAAACGAAACATTCACTCGAGTTTGATTTAACAAGTTTAAATCCACTACGAATGATCAAAAGTGTTGGTATGGGCATCGTGAATATGACCAATGATCTCGACAAGGGCATTTGGATAGGAAGACGAAGTCTTGGCGATCAACCGTTGAGTTTTTCATTACTCCCCGGGACTGATGCTTTCCATTGGAGTATTCAAATCAATGGAACCATCTATCAATTACTTAAAACAAATCAACATGATTATATTGAAATTGATATAAGTTCACAAAACGAACAATGTTCGGCGTATGAAAAGGGCTGCAAAAGATTTTCATGGCAATGTGTGCATCTTAGATCCAGTATCGATGAAACAACCCTTAGAAATTATGCAAAATCATTTGAATCCTACAAATATAAAGCGATATTACCGGATATTAACGAAACGATGAATTGTCAGTTCTTTGTCAAACTAATGTTTGCAAAAGCTGCTGGAATATCACAAAAAGAAGCAGCCACTGTGATTCTTCTCAGCATGCCCAATTTCATATACTGATGAAAAACAATCTATTCTTTACTTTATTTTCAACATAAATCTTTATCAACTGATCAACTATTTACAATACACAAAAATTGTTCATCATTGCAATTGTTGTGTTTTTTTAGTTGTAATAAAATTTTTCCAACACATGATATCTTTCTATCATTCAGTGTTGATAAATATGTAAACATCAAAATATTCTCAAAAAAAAAAAGATGAAACAAATAAATACAGAAACGTTTAGAGTATATCAAAAGTAGTTATCTTAAGTCAGATTCAATATATGTTGTGTATATATCATGTTTATTCATAATGTTTTTGAATCAGATTTGATCAGTTTCAGATCTTATTAGATTAGATTTAGATCGACAGATAGTTCATGGATTTTATTATAGTGAGATTTCACTTTTAGTTAAAAACATCAAATATACAAAATTACATGTATAAGAAGAAGAGTGGAATATAACAAGTAGATAATATATCATACTTGGAAAAATAGATGAAAATGCTACATGAAGGCAAAGAAGATAATAAACGAAAAAATGAAAGAACACACGATAGCTATAGTTCATAACATGTGTATGTATATAGAAAGAAAGAGAACAGACATGCATATGTATAATCCCTGTAACACATTTGTCTTATGTACGTGCCATGAAGGACGCTTCTATTTTTCTGAGCTCTTACATTACTCTTCAATTAGTATCATATTAATGAAATCTTTATAAGAGGTATTTGTTATTATATAGGACAATGACATCAAAGTGTAGGGAGTGAGGATGTACGTGTGGGTGATTGAAAAATTCATAATCATAACCACACTCACAGTTAAGAGAGCATCGAGTATCATGCGTATATACAAAGCATTTGATACAAAAAAAAGTTTTAATATTTTTTGCTCATTCAGCACATCAATGTTCGAAACTACCAACTCCAAAATTTTAACTCCTAATACCCTTCCTTTAGAAAGTTAGTCAAGATCAACTTTTAGCACTATCAGGACTTCAATAAAAATAAAAATAAAATAGAGAATTAAAAACTAAACAAAAGAAGCTATTTGTATATAATATAATGTTTAGTAACTCAAGTTTGATAATAGCAACATGAGTCAAAAACATCTATTTTTTTCGGTCTAACCCGTCCGCTTTATGACTATATATCTTGTACCATGTTTCAGAATCAGAGAATTCCAAGCTGAATTTTATATATATTATGCAACTTTTATTCTCTACAAAACGGTATAATCGGGTTGAAATGAGTTTCGCATTCTCCTAATTCTTGATGGTTTTTCAATGAAAAGGAATATTGTGAACGGTTTTCATTGTCATGACACAGTTCTAAAGCAAACGACATACGGTATTCGGAATCAGCGTCAAAACTCGATAGAATCACATGTATTTTACTGAATTTTTTTTCTTCTCCAAAACTGACCTGTACAGGACCAGGACCAGCGAGAAAAATTTCCATAAAATGTATGTGATCCCATCTAGTTTTTTAATGGTGATTTCGCGTATCATATTTATTCTGTTTTTGAATTGCGTCATAGTAATGAGAATCGCTAAAAATACTCCTTTTTCTATTGAAAAATGATCAAAAATGAGGAAAATGTGAGAGTGTGGATGCAGTTTTTCTTTAGCCTGCACCCACACGTATAATGTAGTGCAATACTCAATTATTTATTCAATAATTTCGTATTAGCCTTTCTGATGGTTTTAAAACATTTCCTAGTTGTTATCACTCAAAGAATGAACTTTTTCTTTGCAAACAGATAAATCTTTACAATTTGAAGTTTTATTAAACTTTAAATATTCTGTTTGAATTAGAAAAATGAATTTCACTGTAAATATTATTCAGTGGATAAGTCTATTGTATACGGGTCGTATTAATTGAATATGAATTGCAATTTGATGACTAAAAAAATTTTTTTTAAATGAGAAACAGAATAATGATTGATGTTGTTTTTGTTCTTATTAAGTTTGATATTATCTTTCTTTTGTTAATCCCATTTGAGAAACACGAGAGAATCAGAGATCGAATAGAGTCAAGTCAATCTAATTTTTTGTTGAATAGTTTCCAGATAGTTTTAATTTAATTATTGATCTGTTGCTGTTTACTTCAACATTGATTAATTAAAATTAGCTTTCGAAGAAAATAAATATTTCAGGGTGTGGGTGTGGGGTGTGGGTGAGTATGAATGTACCAAATATTGACACCCATACCCACACCTATCCACACCCACACCCACCCACACCCACACCACCCACACCCTCACACCCTTCTTGCACCATGCACAAATAAGAAGTGTTCGATCTTCACAACTATTAATTGAGCAAAAGAGATCATAGTACTTGAAACAAATATTCCGTGGCTCTTTTATTTCTTCAATGGTTTCATGAATTATTCCAGCATTTATAAATTTCGATTGGATTAGATTTTTGAATGCGGAAGCAAATAATTGATTGTTAGTAATAGACTACATATTTATAAAATATTGACAATTACTGATATTGATTTCTGCTCTATTGATGTGAGTGTAATGTTCAATTTTTTTATAAATATATTCCCTCAAAGGACTTAAGGATGAGTCTTGTGGTCGAATATGACTACTTGATCCTTCAGGAAAAATTGATAACAATTTTTTTTGATCTGGAAATACTACCCTGAACGTATCTATATCAGTTTGAGTTTTCCAAGAATCAAGGAAAAGAAGAAATTTTGTGTGTACAACAGGCGACCACACTTTCTTCAAGAATATACGATACTTTTCGTCGCTGCTTTTTCCAGAGGTAGAAGCTCGTACAACCACGTATGATGGTACGGTTAAATCCTTCTGCAGTTTGGCACCAAAATCATTTTGTTTCTCGTGAAGAATCAGAAAAAAATTATTTAACAAGTTACCGGCAGTTGACCTAACTGGTTGAACTGTATATGAGTGAGTAATATTGCATTTTTTAAACAGCTACTTTTGTTGTTTGCTCAGCGGTAAATGAAAGAGTTTTTGGAGAAACATATTCTTGTCGAAAAGAACGATGATCACTGTTTAGAATTGCATGTGGAGCATATTCTGAAATCAATGATCGTTTACTTTCAATCCACTACTGGGTATGTAAATTACATTGCATTCAGACTAGTATTATAGTGTGAATAAGGTTAATACATGCCATTTAAAGTACAGAGTTTTTTTTGGTGATACTGCTCTTGTAATAAGCTTATTGCATGATCTGGACGAAACTCGGTTTTCTTATTTGAATGTGTTAATAAATAATTCACTTGCTTTAAAGGTAGTCCAGCCTACATCTCTAGCTTTTTGTATTGCGAAAAGTTGTAGACCAATATCGTGAACTACTTCTTTTTTCAATGACTCTTTTTATATAAAATTCGCTCAGCATAAATTATTTGATTTTGTTTATCTCGTTACGTTTTGAACCGTTGTAATTCATATATTTTCTAAATCTTTTGATATAAGTCATGGATTTAGTTTTTCGAAATACATTTGAAATGCTAGCAATTGTATAATGCACATGTTGATCAATCCAATCAACAATATCTTCTAACGCTTCCAAAGTGAAACGGTTTCTAATATCTTGATCTTCGTTTTCTTCAAAATCGTCCGACTCATCACTGTTCTCTAGATCACCAATAATAGCATCGTATTTATCATCAAATTCAAGAGAATGATAAGTATGTAGTTCACTGAAGTAATGGTGTTTGAAAGCTTTGAGTATTTCGAATAACTTCTATGAAGCAAATATTTCATTACTTGTTGTTGTTGTTGTTGTTTTAGCTTTAGAACCGAATTGAGCTTTAGTTAAATCAAGAAGATATTCTACGATATTTACCAAATTCATACTTCTGTCGAATTAATGTAAGCTTTTTATAGTAATAATTAGTGTGGGTGATCAGGAAGAACGCTTTTACCAACTTATATGACGTGGTTGAAATAATACAAAACTAAGCTTAAACAGACTATCGATTTATCCAGTATTCAATCCTCAATGCACTTAGTCCATACACCTTATATATAACTCATTTGTCTTACAATAAATCTATTTTTTCCCATTCACATACTAGCAAACCTTCAGAAAACGTCCAAACTAGCACAGCAATGCTTAAAAGATAGTTAATAGTGCAAAAGAATGCTGAATTTGAAAAACTCTATTTTTCTTATGTACCTAAAATATCAATACCTTAAAATTTGAATAACTCGATCCACGCTACCTATCAACAGCTCATATTTTCACTTTGTTAGTTTCTCATTGAGGGCAATAAATTGACCCGAATATGGTCAAGTAAATCAACTGAGATGCCAAACAGTTCCATTCTGAGAGAAAGGGTGAGTCTGTTCTTGCAAGAAATAAAAATAGGATATTGAAGATTTTATAATAGAAAGTACTGATGCATGGAAATGTGTACGTTCAAATACATGTCTTTTCTGAAAGCCATTGATAAAAACGTTGACTAATCGCGAAACGAAATTGAGAACAAAGCCACTTGGCTGAAGAAAAATTGATACTCTTTTCGAAGAAAAATAATCAAAGAGAAGACAAGCCGTTGTTGAATGAAGATATAGAGGGAGAGTTCAGGAAAATAGTGCTTTGCTTTAGTTACTATATTTTTTAGCCCAATTCCCAAACCCATACCTCTGTCTAATCAGATTTTTAACGCAACTATCCTTATAGAAAAAAAGTTCTAAGAAAACAATAATTACATATTCTAATCGAGCTTAAAATTTTTCTATCATTTTGCATATTCATGTTTTGTCTTGGGTTTGTTCGTAGAAAAACACAATTTTGTAAATCCAATACACTTCATTGGCGAAACACCGAAAGTTGCTATATTTTGTGAAACTCACACATATTTTCAAAGAAAACAGTGAGTGTAAGTCTTTAATTCAAGTTTTCGTTGCTCCCCTCTTCTCCCATTCCCCGTTACAGAGAGTTACCAACTTACGAGGGAAGTACCAGAACTGTTTAGAAGCTTTTGACTCCATCTTTTGACTATAAGCAAGTTTCAGT